GATATTTTTGCCACAGAGATGTTCTCCAAATACTGAATAACCACAAAATAAATTCACAGAGCGATTGACTATCAGTACAGGAACATTTTAAGCACAACAAACAGGCCATCCCACAGTATGCTAACGTTCCCCTTTTGGTGACGAAAATCATCATTGAGCCACTCCCTGCTCCGTGACAAAAATCGTGATTACCCTCACTACATTATTTTTATAATGTCAATAGGAAACAGGGAATGCCCCGTTCATGATTCCTATATGAATATTAAAACAACTTTTGCAAAATATAGGATGGCCTGCGTTTTGCTCAAAAGTGTCCATCTCTGTCTTTTATCTTAGTCTTTGAATTTTGAACATCAAGGCGAAATCAGGCGTTCTTCAAAATAATGAAATCAAAGAAAATGGTAACATTCTGGTTTCTGGTCAGTTTTTTTTCGGCTCAACGTCCGTAATGCCCATTTATAGACACATTTTTGTGTGGATTGTACTTTAAAAACGTTGATCACAGGCACACAAAATGTATATTTGGAGTGTCCAAGGACTCTCGTAATGCTTCAGAAATAAGTTTGGTGGCCATTTCTCAATAAGTTTGCTTAGTGCGCGGCGCGGCGACGCTCACTTATAGTATTCATACCGTTTATATTTTAAAGTAAATGCCCTGTTCACGGCTAAGACGACATACACAAATGCGCGCACGATCACGAGCGCACAAAGATTCTCAAACGAAATTACCCATATTACAAAGTACGAGAAAACATTGATAACTTTATGAAGTTCAGCGCTGGCTCCAGATATCTAGGTCTAATGGGGATAGAACCAGAAAAACTGCAATACATGGGGAAATTCATAACCGCTAACGACAGCTCACAGACCAATGACATCTTAGGTTTGTAATTTCAAAAAGTTTTCCCCGCTATCGACACTATCAAATTTATTTCATTTAGGAGGCGGGCTGCTTCGAACTTAACTGTTAAGTAAGGCTTTCCCGGGCTGAGAGGGATACGGCATCTCAGAGGAAAAATGGAGATACTCGACCCAAAAAAAAGTTCCTACCCGGAAATCAAACTCAGGACTTCTGCTTGCTACGGCAAAGTGTCCACCAGAGACGCCGGTTTAAAGTAGCAATTAGTATAAAACTATTGTCTTAGAAATAACATAAACACCCAAACACACAAACCCAAATGCGTGTCAGCTACCAATCGGTCATTCCCCATTACATTGGTTCAATACCTCTTTCAACACTAGGGTCTATAGTGTTTTTTAAGAGGCAGGACTTCCGAATTTTAAATCCCTCTCCGACAGGACCTTAAAAACTCACGCAAAACATATTATGTTCAGAACACCTCGTTGGAGATTCGAACCAGGGCTGTCCGCTCTGTTGTCCAGCATGATACAAGTAATGTGCAAATGATGCCCGCCAGCTATTCCCATTTATCAGTCTGCGAGACGATCGTTATAAATACGGGTGTATTCTGCGTTTGGTATCTCATAACCAGCCAGTACATTATTATGTTATTTTATATTCTATAATCACAATTTCAGGTTCTGAATACAGGCTATTGAACAATCTTTTTTTTTTTTACATTTAACTTAACTTTGTCCTGGAGCATTTCTCCTTTCTATGGCCAATTAGTCGTTTTTTGTAAGATACATCTCGTTCCCCACTCCCCTACTTTCTTTTAAAACATGAATAAAAAATACAAGCACCTTTCGCACTACCCCTATCATGTTTTAAATAAAAATCCTTTCCAAAAGAGAAATTAAATTGTAAACGATAGATATAAAACAAAACAAAATAAAAAACAGAGTAAAATCTGGCTTTAAAAAATAGCTAATTTATGTGTATGAAAGTCAAAAAGCAAAACTATCTTGACATCAATGCGAGATTCACGTCTCAAGAAACATTAAGTCTCTATATTAATCAAAACAAAAATTAATCTTATTTTCGCATCTTCAGATTTGAATTAATCAAATGCCCTGGGGGAAATGTTCTAAGAAATTCTTCTCAAGCGTGGTCTAAAAAAAAGAGAGGAAAACTAGTGATAGGACAGATAGTGCTGGGGTAGATTGACAAATAGAATTTATACATTTTTAAAATCTTAACAACGATACAGGTGTTACCACACTGCATCAGTTGTATTTGATTTCTGCTGCGTTTATCTGTATTAAAGGATGATCAAAGCGTGTCGTATGGACTTGGAGTTGCCCTTATGTCTGAAGTTCTTTCAGTTTTTCTTCCTTTCCTTCCCGACTCACTTTTTTTCTTCTACCACGCAGTCCCCCC